ACCCAGAGGGTCTCCAGTCATCCACCTTGGTCACCAACATTAGCTTGCAGGGATGCATAGCTTTCCTTAACATAGAGAGCCACACCCCCGCCCCTTTATCCACACAATCCCTCCTGTACAAGGTATAGCCATCTATACCGATGGTCCAGTCATGGGTGGAGTCCCACCAGGTCTCCATTATCCCTATGATGTCATAATTACTTGTATTAAACTTTAATAGAGTTGCAAATACCCTACCACTCCCCCAAATTAATATTGTAACAAAGTACATACAAGGCTCCCCTTGCTTTGCTGCTTTTTAAAGAGAAATTACTGACACTGTAAGAAGAGCCCAGTTTTCTAACTAAAATAAACTTTTTATTTAGTGACATGGAACAGCTATGCACATCATAGTGCATCTCAGTCACCTAGTCACTCTAGGTTCTCTGGCACTCCCCATTCTGAATCCTACTGTGATGAGCTAGCAGGACTGGTACAATCTTCAAAGCCACTCTCCATTTCTGAGGCACTGAAGACTTTCTTTCTTTCTGGACTCCATCTGAATCCCTTTCTGCCATCAACCCTGTAATCCTTACCTTTTGCTAAAAAGACTTAATTCTTGTTACTCTCTTCAACTGCCCTGTCTCTTAGTCCTAATGTTCCTGTCTACTATACTGATTTAAAGGTGATAGCTCAAATTCTGTGTTGCAAGGGTGGTAGAATGGGATGCTTTGAAACTGCATCTGTGGGATTTTTCAGTGTTTCACCGCTGATCAAAGGATGCAATAACTAATTCATGCTTTTTTAATCTGTATGACCCAACTTGTGATAAACAATGTACTTATGTAGAAATCCCACCCTTAAGTAAACTGATTTTATAAAGCCAACAGCACCTATTCATGTAAGCAAAGAAATTCCTTCCTGGAAAAGGTCAGTTGGTGACTAATAGGTGACAGAAACATAATGCCCACAAGAGAAAGGTCTTATTCACCACTATCATGCTTACCTTTATTTTTGATATTAAACCAAGCAGAGCTTGAACCTGTGTAGCTATCAACATCAAAGAGGAGTTAAGTTAACATCTATTAGAGAGCATGTGAAGTTATCCCAGCTCCAACCACAAATTTGGTATGCTTAGATCAGGTACTGACTGTCATTTTCATGACCATTTATGCAGCTTCATTCACTTTGTAGAAGACAAAGCAGTCCGCCACTACACATCTTCCCAGATGAGTGGCCATGTAATAACAAAACTGTCTGACATGTTGGAGGCGTTCCAGAGCACAACTGGTTGGCTGCTCTGTGTGCCTAAGGGCACATTCTGACCAGAAGGCCAGCTGCTATCTGCCAGTATGATGATCAACTGCAGGTCAAAGGTAATTACAACTGCTAAGAACTGTTATGTGAGTGATGATTTTTTCTGTTGCTCCCTCTCCTCTTTCTTTCATGCCTCCCATATTTTTTGTAGCTATATCTCAATCAAAAGCAATGGGATGACAATACATGAATATACTGCCACCTAGTTCATTAAGAACTGTGCCTGAGATTTCTGAGTTCTAACTGCCCTTATTCCTCATATATTTGAAATTATGGCAAGATAAGTATAACGATTCTCATCCATAACTGCACATACAGGTTTTTGTTACACTGTGTAGGTGTGGACCTGATGTCTTTGTTGCTGTAACTGCTTATAGCTTGTTGTGAATGACATCATTCACTTTCTTTAGTGCCGTGGCAACAAAGCCAGTCTATTTATTTCATATAGATTTGACTGGGTTAAGCTCATGAGGAAACCACAAGTCTAACAAGTGTGCACAAAATTCAGAGAAAGAATATCGTCAGTGCAGCAGATGCTATTCTTGAAAAATGACTGACAGTCATATTCTACCGTCCTTACTTTCAGTGAATGATACTGGACTTAGAGAGGAGGGTACTACTCAGTAATCATGTCTACATGAGACATTTGCTGCACAGTAGACTAATTAGCTGTGCAGTAAATGTCTCAGCATCTACACATGCCCCTATTAGAGTGGAGTAGATTAATCTACTGTGTAGCAGGATAATACTTGTAAGTACAAATACTATCCTGCTGCAGAGTAAAAAACTCCTCAGCAGCACATGTATAGATACTACCCTGGCTGGCTGGGGCATGACAGTGCCTCAGTGTGAGGGATGCCTGCTGACTAGGCCTGCAATGAAGCATCCTTATGCCCCAGCCAACCCCTCTGCAGCACTGAGTCTGGGGGAGCAGCCCTGGGCTGACCCCCTGACCCTGCCAGGGCTGCTTCAATCCATCTCAATGCGCTGCACTCCTGGGAGTGCATTCAAATGGGAATCAACTCTAGAGTTTATTGCTCCAGAGTTTATTGCTCTGAAGGATATGCTCAAACTCCAGAGTTTACTGCTTTGCATTCATTGCACATGCAGACACGCCTGATGTGAGAAAAGTGGAAGAAGAATCTGGCCTTAAGTTAGGGGCTGCAAATATGATAAACACAAGTATTTGGCACCTCTCTACTGTCTTTTAGCAGTGTGCTATGAGGAATAATGCACAACTGTGAGATTGTTTTAACAGTTAAGTCATGGCTTATTGCAAGAAAAGCATCACCTATTGCGAGCTAGAGATGGCTGTGACTAAGGCAGTGTTTCCCTAACTTTTGAAAACAGAATTATCTATTCCCATATCTTGCAGATCTACTGAAGCACAAGAGGGCCCCAGTTCCTGAATAGGGCTTTTAAATTTTAGTACATTAATAACAACAATTGGGATTTCCTCTTGCCATGTATCATTACTGTGACACTTAAGGCAGCTTCGCAGATTCAAAATTGAGAGACAATTCATATTCCACCTAGTAATTATCCTATACTACCCTGCTCAGGTCCCTGAAAAACATTTAATGTATCTAGTTTTGTAACGAGTCTTCATCTTTGTTGTAAAACTGTCACAAAAATAAGAGGACAAACACTCTTTTTCGCAGTAATGGTCCATTGAAGTGTTGCAGTCAAACAACCTGATAACGTGAAAGGTGATATTTTATCCCATATACTTTCAAACAATATAGGGACAAACTAGGTTTACATCTAAAGGTAGACAGCAGCACTATGGTTTTGTACTTTTGTCACTGAGAGAGAAAGTCACGCTTTTCACATGATGTGACTACACACTGCTTTCTGGCCAGCATGGAAGCAAACCTTGCTGTTTTCATAGTGGGAACAGGGTAATCACCACTGGAATTGCTTCTGTCATTTCTCTGCCAAGATCTGCTCTTAATTTTCAATAGGTCCAACTCTACTGAGCTGGAAAAGATGAAGGTGTCTAAATCCAAGCAGAAACTGGCTTTAAACGCATCACTGATGGCAGCCAAGACCTGAGAGAAACTAAATTTGCGTGGATTCCAAACAGGTAATATTAGTAACAAATTTTAATTAACTTGGACTCCTTTCTGGCAGGGTTGCTGTGTACTGAAAAGTCTTCTGGTGAAGCTTGATCAAGTCAGTAATGTCTTTCCACTGATTTCACTGGGCTTCAGTTCGGCCCTAGCTGCACTTGCTTTCAAGATAGTGCATTTAGTAATAGTACCTTTAAAGGTAACTTGAGATGAGATGTCTGCCTGAAAGATCTTAGAAAAGCAGATTCTGATGTTTGAAAGCCATACATTGATACACTATATGGTATCTTTTTCAATATGGAATAATATGCTAATCCTACTTTACTATTTAATAATAATTTGGAACAGTAATCTAGTGCTTGGAATATACTTTAGACATATTGCAAATTGAGAAAGTCTTAAAAATGGCTCCTTTTGAACAGTAAAAATGCCATTTGGCAGTTCAAAAGCAGGCTTGATGCTGTGATCTACACTGAAGGGCACTGGTGAATTTTATGTATTAGGTCTATTTGCAAAGAGAAAGGAAATCCTAAGCAACATGAAATCCCACAGAGGATAAATATAGTATTAATTTACTTATATTTCAAATGCTCCACATATGACACAAAAAGCTCTGCAAAAATGAAAGAAAACATTTTACCTGCATTCAACTTCCATCAATAAGGAGTTTCACTAAACAGTTGCCATTGCAAAAATGAGCCCTGACTGATAAATTAGAAAGACTAGGGCCTTCTGCTCAACACGAATGAGTGAATAACTACA